TGCAAGCAAAACACTTGCAAGAATAAATGCAAAACAAAATCCCAAATCAAAACAGCGAAACTAAAATGTCAACAAAACCAAAAAAGAAATGTTGTTGTTGTCTGCACGTCAACAAAACTATTGCTGCAGCTTAAGATATAGGTACAACAAACCCAAAAGCGAAAAACTAAAAATTAAACCTAAAAAAATAAATATAGCGAAACGGTAACGATCAAAAACCAAAAGTCTATGATTTCACGCTTAACCAACAGCATATGTAGAGATTCTTATCAGTGTTTATCAGCCTGTGTACGTATGTGTCTGCTTCCCAAAGCGGGGTAAGAGGAAAGAACACTGGTGTTTGTCGTAAGAACAACAACGCCAAACTCAACGCAAGCCAACGCTTGGCCGGTATGACGGTGTTATTCTGATGCCAAACCTACGTGACCTTGTCTTCATTATGAGCCGTGGCCAGGCGGCAATTACAGAAAATTAACCCAGCCTGTATTCCTAAGCACCCCATAACGCAAACAAAAAGTCTTTAGAAACCAATGATATTGAACTTTTTTACTATTTGAATGCCTACATTATCCGTGGTCAGTAGTCAGCTCTTAAAGCCGATCGTACTGAATTCCTATGCGTCTAATTGCAGAAACTCATATAATAAAAATAGAAAAAGGAATTGGTATCGCTTTAATTCCTATCAGCCGTGGCCTGCTGACATTTCAAAGAAACTATTCACCAGTATTCCTATGCGTCTGACAGTCACCAAAGCGGTACACAAGAAAGGACAGAAGAAATGGTTATAGATATACAGTGTCATTGCAATTTAAACAGTAGCCGTGGTCAGGCGTACCCTCTGTAGAGAACCAATCCCCTGCAGTCCAATGCGTCTAACTGCTAAATATACCTAAATGACGTTAAAAGAGATTTATTTTTCCTTACGATAGTTGCAATTAAAAGAAAACATAGCGATAACGATAAACAAAAATGTAGCTAAACTACAAAAGGGAAAAAGAAATTTAATTGCGACTAACGTACGAGAAGCTATTGTTGGAAAAGACTAAAGATTTTACTGCAGAAAAGAATAAAAAGTGTATCAGTCATATTTATGTTCTTGTGAAGCCTAACATTTGAAAGCCAAAAATACGAAATAAAATTGACAACTAAAAGTTGGGCTCCACACGTTGGGCGCCAAAATAATAAATGAAATTATAACTGTAACGGGTATAGGACATATCCCAGTAGAGTAGGCGAGATGGTGTGTGTATGTTGGAGAGCGCACGCTATATGTTCCGGCTCGGGCTCGTCGGCTAGTGGGTGGTGTTCGAGGTCTCTCCAATCATACGGCCTTTCATTAAGCTTATTATTTAAAGTTAAAGCGTGCTGTGGGGAAGCCAAAAAAAAACCGGTAAAGATATACATGAATATGACTAACAAAAGGATCGCGGGTTGGCAGACCACGTAACACAAGTGAACACACCTCTGGTATTCCCCTGATGGTGTTGAGGAAGTATTGGCCCACCCATCCTTGGTCATTTATATCCAAAAACAATTAGGCAAATGACCCCTTTGAACCTCTACATGCTGTGGCTAGCGGAAATCAATGTTAGGCGGAATTTAAGCGAACATTATAAACTTTTTATTAAAAACTAAAATCATAATTTTCAAGGAATTCCAAAAAAAAGTGACCGTACATTAACCGATAATAGAAATCTAAAGCTAATTATCACTGGATTCGTAGCCAGTAGCAGAATAGGTAAACATATGACTGCCTTAAAATACTAGTGTAAATATAAATTGAGCAAGGTGAGTAAAGCAACGGCTTGGCTGTAAGAGATGGTTAATAATTGAAATGGATCGTAATATAATAGGAAAAAAATTTGATGTAAGAGAAAGTGTTGATATTTAAAGTGTTATAAATTCTTGCATCGCTTTTTTTTTTTTTTGTAAAGATTGGCCATAAATTTAAGTAAGTAATGACCGCAATCAAGTATAACGTTATTACGGTGATTTAAAAAAAAATAATAATAATGCGGAAATTAGACTTTACATGGCCAGCAGGCAGACATATGACGCATATGAACAGGTGTTTTATTTATTTTTTTTTTTTGTTTTTGTACGCGTGCTCTTCTGCATGAAAGTAAATAAAATTCAAACGGTTCTACTTACAGTTGTCGTCCAACGTCGAAAGATCTTTCCGTTGAGGCGCTCTGCATAGGCTCGTTGCTGCTTACATGCACATTAATTATGATTTTTAATTTGTTTGTAAAATTTTATGTTGAAATTTTGGTTTTAAAAACATGCACTTTTCATACCTTCACTTGTCGCCATGCTTAATAAAATTTTATTTCGAAACGTATAGTCAAAGGGGTTTTTATTTGTTGTTTTGCCTTTTTTTTTTTGTTGCCTTCTCTTTTCTTTTTTTTCTCTTTGGTTTTCACTTATTTCTTTTTTTTCCCTCTCTACACACCCGGCCGTGCTGCTTTGCTCACATCGGATATAGATCAATTTAAGTATAAGGCCGTATACGACCCAAAAAAAAAGAATATAAGACGAAAGAATAGAAAAAAAATAAATGCCTAGTTCTCTCGGTTGCACTTTTTTTGTTGTTTTTGCAGGGCCCACATTTGTGTATAGTTTTACATATATATAGTTTTTATAATTTTTTTTTTTTTTTTTACGCAGGCCCTCTTCACTAAAGCCACCTGGGGCTTCGCCACCTTTTCGGTGCACGGAAACGCAACAAAAAAAACAGGTGCCCTAGCTTAAGCCGACGACCGTCATATCGGATATGATCCACGCAACTGAGGCGGTGATTCTTTTCGCCGTTCCAGTGGCCTGAGCGAAGCGCCGATCTCGTTTCTAGCACGCCTCCTTCTCCCGTGCACTTCCCTTTTCCTAGTCGTCGCTCTAGCAAGTGCCCATCAAAGCGATAAGCAAAGGTTAATGCCCTTTATGGGGATTGGACTTTTTATTAAGTGCCAATTCTGCACGAAAACAATGTACAATGAAGAAATAGCATTAGCTTTTGCATTTTATATGCGAATAAACGGAAAAAGTAAAATTTACCCGATATCCGGAAGTGGCACCAGGCAGAATTCCTTTTGCTAACACAATTGAAGTGAAAGATTACTGCAAATTCTCCAAATTTGTTGCAGCAGGCTTAACGCTTTGGCCCAGCCGAATTTGAAACGGACTATAGGTTATACTATATGTATGACCATATATTTGCCAGCCAGAGTATATTGGGCACAACCTGCTCCCATGCGATCTTCAAGCGAAAAGAAAGTATCCGGATGCCGAGGCTACGCAAGAAAACTTTTCTTTGCGGAAATTGCTTCACCCCCTCTTCTGACAATCTCCCTTTGACAGGTCAAGGTTGAAGAAAGGGCCACTGACAACTAGCAAATATTGCCACTGAGCAATACTGAAAATAACCCATAGGTGGCCGATAGCCGTGCGGCTGCAGAAAATAATTTTTTTTTTGTACATATATAAAAACAATTATGGAAAATTTGTTTGTTTCGTCTGCTAAGGCAAGAATAATAAAAAATGCGATCATAGGCAGTTGGCGCTAAGACGAATCGCCAATTCAAACCGTAACTAAACAAGCAGTGCGTAAACATAAATAGCCAATGAACTGCTTGACTAAGGGAATGCAATTTAATTTACGATATTCGCCGCCAGCGTCGTTACATAATATACATCTACATATGTATATCCAACTTCCATAAACAATTGACGACACCACTTAAGCTAAAACAATTACTTATAACAAATTAAGGGTGGAAGTAAAGTTATTCGAGTGACTTTTATAGCCAAAGTACCTATATTATCAGTAAAGAGATACCATAATTAAAAATTGTCTAGCTTATATTACAACACTTATATTACAACAAAACCTCATTAAATCAAACTTGTTATCAATATTGAAGTGTTTCGCAACGACATACATGTACAGTATTAAAATCTATCATAAATCACCATCATAAATGTTTGTTTTACTTGAGAAATCAGAAAACCCTAGTGTCATTTCCATGACATTTTTGCGCAAAAAGATAACCGAATTTAAAGATTTTCTTTAAATTTCGAAGCTGTGTCCCACTTTCAAGATAAAGACTCCCATATAAAACTTATTAAATAAAGATTTTTAGCGAACATAAAATTCCAAAACCAATACAAGCGTTTTTTTAGCCAATCCGCCGACATTTAAGACCAAATGGCCTCTAGAAGATCGTACCACCAATCAGTCTAATTTAGCAGATCGCGGTGGTGTCTGCCCTTTCCACAATAGAAGCGTATATCAATACTCTTGGTTGGCCACAATCAGATCATTTTCATCTAGAAGGGATTCCTCACACAACTTCAAAAGCCCAAAGAAATAAATACGTCAAACAGACGGGGAGACGGGGCATAGCTATAATATCCTTTCCCCCACCGGGTCAGAGATTCGTTTTTTGAATATTTTTTTAAAATTTAGCTTTTATCTAATTCTAAGCTTTCTTTCTTTGCTAAGTGTTTTCTTTTCTACCAAAGATCTACAGATTCGGGGCATATCTAGTCGAAAGTCGTAGGCGTTTATAAAATATTATTGTAATTTGATTAGATTAGATTAGATTAGCTTATAGGGCTTTTAAAAAATGTATATATTTTGGTTTCTTATGTCGAAGGTCAACGTTAGTTGACATAAAATGTAATAAACTAGAAGTCCATGTCGCTACACCGCATTTGTGGACATTTCAAAATATAACATTGCATCAATCTGTTTCCACAAGAATTTATGTTTCCCAACTGAATACCCGTTTGATTTGCTATTAACACAATATCTTGATATTTATAAAGGCATCTTCATCTATACTTGACAATGAACTCTATCAGTGATTCTGTTGATCTAAACGCCACAAAACAAGATCAGCCGCGGGACAATTTTGAATATTGCTACAAAATCGGTTAAGCAGTTTCGGAGTCTACATACTTCTATTTTTCTATACATATATGATAAATAAATAAACGTAAAATTGTGAATTGACCCTTTGAAGATACTCGTATATTGAATATCGCTCACATATAGGAATCGCATTTATTCACTTTTTCAACAGAGTTTGTGATACGAGTAGGTTCAACAATACAATTTTGGACATTAGTACTGAGTGTCTGAGTGTCTGTTTGTCTGCCCTCTTGCCTCGGGCTGTCGACGCTCGACAGTAAATAATGAACACTTAATTTTGAACCGGCATCGAAACAACAAATAAACAAAACTAAATAATGAACGCCAAGAAGTAACACACTTAACAAAAACTTATAGAGGTTGAATGGGCTTGGAAGTGTCAGCCCACCCACTATTTGCTATCTGGACAGGCCATCTGGTAGAGGAACTGAATGATGGTACGTGTAGGACGTCCCGTCATACGATCCTTCAGCAAATATGGCAACGGATTGAATTGGGTGAGTAAGCCCACGTTGCGTATATCCAGATGGGCCCAATCCACACAGGGCACCAGCTCATGTAGAACAGCAGCAGCAATGCACGAGGAGGCTGGTCCACGCCCTCTGTTGCTAATATCGAAATTGCTATTGGGGGTTATCAGGTCCTTGTAATAATTCCAGAGCGGTAAGCGCCACACACGATCGCCAGTTAGTCCGCCAGCCTTCTCGAACTGCTTGTAGATGTAGTTCGAATTGGAGAATATGCCAGCAGCTCCGCCACCCAGACCGCTGCAAACACCATCGCCCAACGTTGCAATGTCCACGACCAGGCGCGGCTTGAAAGTGGCCTGTGCATAGAGCAGGGGATCGGCCATGACCACCACGCCTGCCTTGTCAATGTCCACAATGCCCAACGTCTTATTGTTCAGCAGGGTAACCACATCTCCGGGCTTCACAGACATGCCGGAGGGCATGTTCTCGCAGAGCGGCAACACAGCCGATATGTTCAGTGGCAGGGAGAGAGCCGCCGCGGCCCGAATGGTGGCCACACATACCGCTGCCCCAGCCATACATCCGCGATAGAGATGCAGACACTGCTTGCGACGCAGACACAAGCCGCCGCTGTTGTAGGTGATGCCCTTGCCCAGCAGGAGGATCGGACGATCCTCGGGTGCTGCGCCACAATAGCTGACCTCCAGAACGACGGGCGGCTCACAAGAACCCTTGGCCACCATTAGAAAAGAATTTAGATGATTCTGTTCGATCCAGTCCATGGAACGTATTTCCACTGTAACGCCGCAGGGACACAGAGCATCAACCGTGGACTGAGCGAAAATGGTGGGGGTCATCTGGTTGCCCGGCGCATCGGTCAGTCGACGCGCCAAATTCTGGGACTCTGCCTTGAAGAGGCCACGCGTCCAGGCATCGACATCAGGTGAATCGTAGAGCTCCAGCTTGGGTATTGCAGTGCGATTCTGTTTGCGTTTATTGCTGTTGTAGCGCCAGACCGCCAGAGCACTGCCCTCCGCCGCCTGCTCCGGATACTCCATGGAATCAACAAAGACATCTGTGCAGCCTTGAAGCTGTAAAGCGCGTGCGCCCACTCCGGCCGCCACACGCGCATTCTCCATCCCCTCGTCAATCATTTCCAGCTCATTGTACCCAGCACCCTCCTGACCCAAGCCCACAACGGCCACCGATCGAAACTCTGGATCGAGATTTGAAAATAGTTTGCCCTTGCCTAGGGCACCCGTGTAACCGGACTCGCGCAATAGCTCTGAGATTTTTCCCTGTGCGCGATCATCGAATTTCTCACCGCTTGAGGTCAGCTTAAGGTCCTTGTCGCTCTCCTTCTTATACATGCCCACTACCAGACCTTTAATAACGGCAGTATCGCATTTATCTGTTGCATAGAAACGATGCTGATCATAGATGTATCCATTCCAGCTGCGAATGGTTCCAATTGATAGTGGGGAGCCGCCCCATGATGTCAAGCGTTCTGGTCCATCGACTACGATAGGTGGGCCTGTGGAATTGGAGCGCTTCACACGCTTAAAGACACTTACGTTATTCTTGCTGAACAAGTTAAGCATACGGCTCGAGGCCATTTCACTTGTGTCCCGCTACGTGCTGATTATGTTTAATTCACGATTGGTGATTTCTAACTGTTTTTCAATTTTTTACTTTGTTCCCAATAATTTTGCTGAATTTTATGTGAGTGTTTTCTACGAATGTGAGGGGTTTCACAAACTGACATTAAAAAACGGTTGACATATTTTCAAATGTTGATTGATGCACGTTTACGAAAGGGAAAACCACTCCATTCACCCAGAGAAATTTCTAAATTTTAGCAGTGCAACATTTAACCTGATTTTTGATTATACAGATATTACCATAAGAGAATCAGGAAGCTGACAAAAATGTCAACAAGCCGCGCTTTTACAGGGGAACAAAATGCATTCGATATTTAACATTTCTAAAACATTTACGAATAGTGTTTGCTGTGGAAGAACCTCTTCGTAGCAGAACTCTGAAAGGACCAATCTAGAAACTTTTAAAACTATGTCAGGGGAAGGTATAGCTATTGTTTTGTTTCATTAAATTATTTAATTTTCTTTAGAAGAATATGAACCACTATGAAATTCTTTGTAAAAAAATTCCAAAAAATAAAATAAACTCGTCCTTACTCGGGCCTAGGAGAATCTGGATGCCAACTTTGGTTATTCTAGCTTTTATAGTTTCTGAGATCCTCGCGTTCATCCAGACGGACGGACAGACGGACAGACGGACGGACATGTCTAGATCGATTTCTCTCGTCATGCTGATCAAGAATATATATACTTTATGGGGTCGGAGATGCTTCCTTCTGTATGTTACATACTTTGCACAAACCTAATATACCCTTTTTACCCTACGGGTACAGGGTATAAAAATTAAGAAAATGTAAAAATGTATTCGAACTTTCGTAAAATTATTTACTAAGTATAATTGTGTCTTCCATGCTTACTTCATTACCTAACATTTTTAAAGAGAATTCTTACGCTCTCTTGCTTTTCTGATTGATCTAACGGCGCTCTCTTGGTCCTTTGCGACAAATTGGGGCGCTCGACCACCAAAACTCCAACTTGTTTATACAACAGACTCAACACAGCAAGTGTTATACAAAACATTCAGCAAGTGCTGTAAATTGAGTTTTTTTCTTTCTTTTTTGTGTATCTGTTATGTTATGTTATTCACATTTGTCTGCTAATATAAAGGCCACTGTGAGTGAGACCTACTCATACATACATATGTGTACATACATACATACATGAAAAAACATCATTAATATAAATCGTTGAGTAGTTACATTTACATACAGATTAATTGCGATCGTTTTACTTACAAATTATTTTTAAATTGAACACCTTTACTTATCGAAATCACATTAACAAACACTTAAAAAAATTAAAACAAAAATTGACGCACTGCTTTGAAATCACGAACACACACATACACACATATGTAAGTATGTGCCGCTAATCGCGCGGCATTTTTGCAGTAATTAACACATATTTTGCACACTTCACACACATCTTTATATATACATATGTTTTTACATCATTTTTCTAATATTTAATCTATTAATTAAACATTTTCTCAGAGTTTTCGGCAACTCCAAATCCAAACCCAAACGGCGCGACGCGTTCAACAGGTCGAGAAAAACTGAGCCTTGCATTGCAGCTGCAAGCAGAATGCTCTCTTTAAGAATGTAAAAGAGAAGGCAAGGAATCAAAAATCATAACTGTAAATCCGCTCACGCGGCTGCCATATGTACGTATTTCGTTTCATGCAAATTTTCTCACATTGAACTTGTTGGGTGATCATTTATATAAATCAACAAATTAATTTAATTAAATTTATTAATGGACCAAGGGGAATTTCCCTTGGGAAGTACGGGAGTAATGGAAAATCGCAAATTGCAGGGGAAAGGGGGGATGGAGTGAATTTCCAAGATTCACATTTCTTGCGTACTCACATAAGGTATCTTGCAATAAAACTTGGTGTCCCTATGTCTTACAGTCTCTGAGATATACATATGTAGGTGATTATACGAACAGCGTTACGAAAAAACCCCAACATCGATGGAGTGGGGGGGGGGGGGGATCAAAAAAATAAAGCAAACTCGTATAGCGTACACACATAAGACATCCTCGTGTCTCTATCTCTTACCGTCTCTGAGATCCTGGTGTTCATACGAACGCACAGAGAGACAGACAAACATAGATCGACTCGTCTTGTCATGCTGATCAAGTATATATGTACATATGTATATACTTTGTGGGGACTGCTACGACTACTTCTGCCTGTTACATTTCTCACCTAACGTACGTTTCATATACCGAGCCTAAAAAGTCGACGACTTTCATTTGTCAGCTCCCAGGCGATTGAAGGCAAACAAATGGTAATTGAATTTATGCCTCCAAATACAAAATGTTCACCTTAAGCTTTGTTTTGAAGGCATTCATGAATAGTAATATTAATAGTTTAAATACGAGCTCTTATTAGACAGTGTTTAATAAAGAATCGGAGAGAATGAAGATGGAGTAATAACATTTAAACATCATTAGGGAAATGTATAATTTAATGAATAATTCATAGCTTACATAAATCTGGCGCTCCATTATTCATTACAACTTTACTTTATTCCTCATCCGAGTCAGCAGTCTGTGGCTTGAGACCGCCAAATACTTTGGCCGGAATAGCCTGCTGCTCGATGCGAAGTTTTTTCATAATAAGACCATCGTTATCAGTTTTGGTAACCGCTTCTTGCTCTCCCTGTCCTTCATCATCGCCATCTTCCTCATCATCCTCATCGCTATCGCCTATATCTATTTCGTCGGGATTGACGACAGTGTCCTTAGCTTTCGCACCGCCTTGTGTCTCACCACGCACAAACATAATGTTGGAAGCTGCCTTTTCGGCCGGTTTCTTGTTGGCTTCGGCCGCCTGTTGACGCGCCTTCTCCTCGAGCAGGCGCATGGCATCAGCGCCGGCGCCACCATCTGCAGCCGTGCCATTGTTCGTGTTCAGAAATTGTGCGGCCATCATGTTGACTTGCGTATTGTAAGTGGCCTGAACAGAGCGTTTAATACGCAACATTTCGCGCATGGTATCCTCATTGCCGTGTCGGACCTCAAACTCCTTCCACGTTTGCCAGAAGTCCGCAGTAATGCGTGGATCACAAACCTTTGGAAGACAACAGTTTTTTAGTGGGTCTTAAGTTAACAAAACCTATATCTTTGCTTACCTGCGAGCAATGAGCATAAATGGCCCTAGCACGATCTACCTCGCCCAGCTTGGTCTCCAGCTCTGCAAACCGCACGCACATATGACGCATGTGTTGCTCTGGGAGCGCCTCAATCGCCTTCTCATAGATCTCACGCGTCCGTGGCAGTCCATAGATCTCGGCTGCCTTTTTCACAAATATATTGTACATATCAAACATTTCCTCTTCTTTCACCGCACTTGTGGCACGATCGTAGACAGCCATGGCGTGGCGTGCCAGACCATGTTCCTCCTCGAGCTTGGCATAGAGCAGATAAAAGTACTTGGCATGCTCCGGCGGACACTGGTCTAGGCATTGTTCGAAAAGATCGCGTGCCCGTTCGAGCTTCGAGCCTCCGTAGCGAGCCAGAAACTTGGTTAAATATGAATTCCAAATATCATAGACATTCGGCCACTTGAATAGTGCAATTCCCTTCTCGTAAGCACGATATGCCTCTTCATAGTAGTTATGCTCCTCCAGAAACATGCCGTAGTTTATGATAATTTGTGGTGTGCAGATTTTAAGATCAATGATGCGTTCGTAAACTGCCTTGCAGGTTTTAAATGTGCCAAAGGACTCCTCCAGATCAGCATACATAGACCATACCTTCAGAGATTTGTACAATCGCATTTGCACCGTCTCCGTATCATCGTGATAGGCCACTTTACGCTTAGGCATTGCCGTGGCACGTTGCATCAGTTTCAAGGCCGCCTCGTACTGCTCCTGGCGCAGCTCCATTTCAGCCCATTCACACCAAACGGCAGCCAAATCCTCCACCTTGACATATTCCACCTCTGTGCCACGTTCGAAAACAACTCGCGCATCATCCACCTGACCATTGGATTCGTAGAATTTGGCAAACTCCACCCAAAGCGTGTGCAGCTTGCCCACTGCATGTTTGGGCTGCACCGTCTGCACGGCTTCTGTGTAGGTGCTGATCACCTCTGTGGGCTTATCCTCGTACAGTTTCACACGTTTATGCCACTCGTGCACATTGTGCGGATTCTGACGCAACAGCACGCTATTGAGCAACAGCAAACGCCTCTCCATCAGATATTCGAAGCGGGATAGTCGCAGCTCCACATCAATGTCATCCTCTTCCGTTGCCGTCTCATCGTTGGCCACCTGATCCATGCGTTTGTTCAGTGACAGTTCCTCGAATTGCGCATATTCATCGAAGACCTGTGTGAAGTCACGCACTGTGGTCACCGTTTGTATTGCTTCCTCGTAAATGTCACGAGCTCGATCAAAGAGACCGGAACGCACATAGTAATCGGCCAGTGAGTTCCACAGATGACCCAACTGATCGGTGTATCTGTAAGTTAAAATGAAGTTAGCTCACAGAAAAATGATTTATTAGTTGTTATATTACTTACTGTTATATTACTACATTTAAAATGATTACTAAATTAAACTCCAATTTCTTTTCATTAATTTAAAACATAATTTTCGTCGTCAATTTACTCTCAACTTATTTTTGTGAAAATGTTCAGAAGAAAAGCAATCGAAATACTAAAAGTTCGTGCTCGCCATATTGAGAGAGCTTCTGTAACTAATGTTTTACTTACCTTCGCAATCCACCTCGAATAATGGCATCCACATTGAGAGAGTGCACCTTGTGCGGATTCTTCGATATTAGATCGCAGAGTTCATTCCACAATTGATGATTTGATTTGCCATGCTTGGAGACAAAATGTTCATTGTCTACAATATGTGCCAGTTGCTGTGCAGCTTCATCTAAACGCTGTGCCTGCTGCAAGTACTCCACATATTCCTCTGCATCCTCGGGGCAAAGCTTTAGATAGCGTCTATATACACGCAGGGCCGTCTCTGGCATTTCGTAGCGCTGCACAAACTTGAGATACAAAGGCCAGATGCGTCCATGTTGTGTGATGGGGAGAGCACGTAGCGCTCGATCAAAGACATGACGTGTGCGTGTAATCCTACACTGGGACGTCATAAACACACCATAATCCATCCATATGCGCGGCATTTTGTGCATGAAGACGAGAGCTCGTTCGAAGGTATTGTTAACCTGCTCGTACATTGGGTCTGTGGGAATGCGTCCTCGCACCTGCTTGCGACGCGTCCGTAAATAATTGTACCAGATCTTGTAGCTGCCCGGCAGCTCCTTGAGAGCACGCTCGTACACAATATTGACGCCATTATTAGGCGCCTTCGCCTTATGGTCAATGTATCTTAGCCAATGCTTGACTGAGTAGGCGTTGCGCAGAATTTCCTCCTCGTAAGGTACATCTTCCTCTTCCTGTGAAAAGTGCGTGAAATGAGCAACCGCCAAGTTGGGCAAACCGCAAACTTACGAAATTCAGTTCGATATTCAGCGACTGCTTTGCTTTTGTGGCCATTTTCATAAAACTCAACCGGTGCTAAGAAGAAAAGCCGCAAAACGTTTGCATGCGCGTCACCAGCTGATCGCAGAGTTGCCACACTTTGTAATATAGTATACAGAGTGCTGCCCAATTGTTAGCTTATAAAACAGCTGTTGCGGTGGGTGGTGGTGTGAATGAGATGGTATACATTTTGCATATATGTACCTGGCTGGGTAGCACTTCTCCACAGTTTCGTGTCTTTTCTGGCAGTGACGAGTTCGTCTTTCGCTTTTACAATCAATCATTACGCTTCAAAGCAATTATAACGTGCGCGTTAAAAAAAATCAAAGCTCTTTCGTATTTAATTATTAACTTATTATTTGTATTTGATCAATTTACGCAACCAGCTTATTAATATCAAGTGCCAGCTGCTGGGTGTACAACCGTCATAGAAGAAAAAAGAAACAAGACGAAGAAGCAGCACCGCAAAGAAAAATTTAAGTCTTCGTGTGGCAACAAAAATAGAAAAAAAAAAAAACTTAAAATTATTGTGTGGCATTAGATAGCTGCAAAATAATCGTTTTTAAATAGAGTGTTAGCAAATTTCCAAGATGGTGCGCTTGAAACATTTTTAATAAATTAATAATATATATATGTATATAAACCAACAAAGTCGTTGCGATTTCTCCGAGAAATATATAGATTTTTTGGTAAGTTTTTTATTTAATCGGTTATTTTTATTTCCATTTGGCGCCTACGTCACACCACAAAATGTTTCTCCATATATGCACATACATTCATACATTTGTATGGGGATGTATACATACATACATATGAGTGTGTTCGTGCGTGGGTGTCGTAAATATTTTCGCACTTCCTTTTTCACACACTTGTTCGTTGTCTTAAGCTGCATTGATTTTCCTATACCCTTTTTTCAAACTACCGGCCGCACGTGCTGGTACCACAAAATCCAATTAGCCGACAATAGCTGTTGTTGTTGTTGTTGTAGTTGTTTTCCCCTATAATCAGCTGTCAACATTTTCCACGCATATTGTTGTGCGTATTCAGGGGTTGTTTTGATCTTGTTATTTGCTGTGGAAAATTCCTACTGCCCAACAAATACAGCCTGCAGGTAGAATTCGAAGTGATTTGATGCCGGCAATAACAAAGCCTGCCGACCTGCAAAGCAACCCAAGGAGCCGATAAGTCGTTGCCAAGCTACTGACACAGAAAACATGACCAGGCAGCAACAACAATAAAATATAAAAAAAAACAGCAGCTACCTTAGATACAATTTGCCGTTGCATGCAGCTTTGAGGCGCAGCTTTTTCTGCAGCTGAGCGAACAACTTGCAGTGGCAAAAGCTTTTCGCATGATTTTTGGCCAAAACATTTATTGATTAATTCTCATTCATTCTGCTTTCAGCCTGCATCCAAACGGGGCCCGCACAATAGCGACAAAAACCAACGAAGTACAAAATTTATTAATTTTTTAAAATATTAAATACCTAATTGATAGCTCTGCATGCAAAATGGCGCGTTTAAGTAATTTGTTGTTTAATTCGACATCGAATTTAAAGACTAAAAAGTTTTTGTTTTAACAAAAACCCAACAAAAACACAACTTGAACACAATCTTATAAGCAATTTCCAATATAATTAACGTAATATTTATACGTGTCGTCCCGCGTAAAGTGTGAAAAAAGTGCAATATTGTAATACATATAGGAGCAATTTTAAAAACAATAAGTAACTTTAAACATTCCGTTGAACTAAACGGGTGCGTCTTCTTCTCATTCGCCGCATCGTTGTTCGCTTTGTGCATTTTGCATTTCTCCGGAACTTTCGAAACGGTTAACTGCCTAATGGCAAGTTCGCTTAACAAGACGAGACACAGGCGCAGATTGGCTGCGATCTCGTTTCTATCGAATATCTCATTAGATGGCACACATCGGGACACAAAATTTGGCGCAACATTTGGCAGTAGCATCTGCAACCAGAACTACCAAACCAACAACAACGCAACGGCAGCGTTGGGATTCGGCGCCGGTGGCTATCATCAGCATTATCAACGTAATCATCAGCAGCGCAGCCAACAGGCGCAGCACCAACAACAACAACAGCAACAGCAGCAGCAACAACAAAACCATCAACAAGCAAATGGCAAATGTGGCGGTGGAGGCGGAGGCGGGGGCGTTGGCAGCGCTGCGCTGTTGCTCTGCAGCGGCGACATCCATATGGGCAGCACTACCGATGGCGGGCTCGATGACTGTGGCGCCTCGGCTGCCGGTGCCAGTGATGGTGATGGGCATTTTAGTGAAATTGAAAATATGGGTCACTACCTGATGAATGTCCAGCCCCACAACGCAAGCGTTGTGCAGGTTGAGAGACGCAACATAAAGCGACCCACCTCGTGTGGTCGCCAGCATCAGCAGCTCCAACAGCCGGCTGTGCCGGGCAGTGGCAATATGAGAAAGCAGCAGCAACAACAGCAGCAGCAACACGCGGCTGGCAGCGGCGGCTCTGGCGCCGAGAGTGGCAGCGATTCGGACAGCGTCAAGATACCGCTCAAGGTGTCCAATTTGGGCAGCGGCGGTGGCGTTGGCGGTGGCAGCAAATTGTTGCCACTTAGAGAACGGTGAGTGATAAACTTGAAATACTTTAAAAACAAATGTTTATTGGTTTACAATTGGTATTCAATTACAAAGAACTCCCGCGTAATTTGAAAAACTACACTTCTTATAAATATATTTGCAAACAGTATTTTTCTCGAACAATACAGAGCCCCTTACACTTGACTTTTTACAAATCGTAATTTAATACAAATTAAAGGCTTGTTTGAAAACGCCATTGAAAAAGACTTTGAAAATGAACACCAAAGCTGTAATATATATGTTTTACAAAAAAATCAGACTATATCAAACGCAATAATATCTTAAGATATCTTCGTATGGCTTCTTAGGAGGCCCCTTTCTAAACTCCTCTTTGAAAAAGTCTTTCAAAAATATCGTTTTGAAAATTTTATTTTGCAACAGAACGGATTGATATAATATTACTTGTCAGAGGTGCAATCACATCTAACCCCTTATACCACTTATATAGCGTGTTTCTCAAAAACAGTGTACCTTTTTCGAAACACTGGAGTACTCATGTAACTATTGTATGTGTTCTCTTATCTTATCTTTCCATTCACCTACTTCTGCTATTACTTAAACGGGTTTTTTTCAAATTAAGTCTAAAAACAATTTTCACAATTGTCTACTACTCATGTCAGATAAATGAAAATTCAGGTCGACAAGGGAGATAATGTTAAAAAAAACTCGAGATTCTGTATATAACCCTTCATTTATTGGAAGCTAGGGCTGCAAAGGGATAGTTTCTCAAAGAATCCGTACCTTTCACCATACCTTACACCATTACTATAGTCTTATAAACGGTTTCTTAATTCCTTCACTGATTCATCTGTTCTCTCTTAATGTTTATTTATAATTTTCCGCCAGCCCTTCAGCTATTGCTGCGAATTCATTTCAAGTATAGTAAGCTCCAAATTCTTGTAAATATTTCAATTTTCCTGAAAGCGTTATGTCAAAATATTTTCGATATTGCCTGATTCATCGCCACCTGGAACCTCTCCGATTGCAGATTGACAGCTCGAATCGCTTTCTGTGTCATTTTCCCCACATATTTTGCATATTTATTTCTATTTATAGAATTTTTCCGATTCAAAGTCTTAATAATTCACACCTCCGAATCATTTGCGTACAAAATTTGGCTTCCATTCAACTAAACTAAGAGCTATATTGGCTAATTGAAAGCTCATAGAATTTATAAAATGTACAAATTTCATTTTAAATTTATGTCGTCGCCAGCACATAATGCTGTACATTCCAATTGACACTCACAAATGAGAACGCCCCGCAACAAAATATTGTTTAATGTCCTAAAAATGGAGTACGTGCACATTAAGGGACCTTTATTAATAGAGAAATGTGTTCACTTACGCAATCAAAATCCAGTCCCTCATTTGGTAAGAAGATCTACATAGAATGCAATTGAATTTGTAAACAATATTCAAAATATATATTTAATTGCAACATAATCAACTTGATTTGTGCAATTGAAGCACTTTTGCTTCCAATTTAAATTTGAATTCTTTAGTGTTTGCTCTTTTGTGTTTATTTTATTTTTTGATCACGTTTTTGACTTGTGCACCGATTATTTCTGGTTTGCTGGCCCGGCTGCTCAACTTTGCTGGCATCTGTCTGAATATATTTCATGCATACATACATATATAGTATACACTGTATATCCATACATGAGTTCGTATGTGGCGCAGTTTAATTGAATTTCATTCAAAAGCAAAGTACAAAAAGAACTAAATTCATGCAAATTGAGTGTTGGCGAGTGTTGTTGTGTCGGGCTCGCAAACTACTTAACAGCTACAGTGTAGCATGTTGTGGGCCATTATTTGTGGCTGTTACATTTGTTTGCGCATCCATCGGCCCCGCACCCCCCTAATAGGTACTGTCACGCACTTAAATGGCTTGTCACTATCATTTTTATGTGATTCGCTTCTTTTTTTTTTTTTTTTTTCAATTACCATCACAAAGGCAATCAGGCGGTGCACAAAAAACAAGAGAGAACGCTATAGCAGCAGCAAAAAGAGGAAGAAGAAGAGCGAACTTGTTGCTGCAGTTTGGGGAGGTTGTACTGGCGAGAATTTGTTTCGCTAATAACTTTTCTTAGAATTGACCGAATTGAATAAAATTTTAAAGAACAGTAGATATTTATTTATAAATTATGTGTGCAAAGTTTGGTTTAGGTAGCATTTGAAATGTGGACGCTATTGACGAAATTCTGTAGCGGGGGAAGGGGGGGAAAATTAAAAAAAAATAAATAAACTCGTCCTTACTCGGATCTAGGATGCCAACTTTGGTTATTCTAGCTTTTATAGTTTCTGAGATCCTCGCGTTCATCCAGACGGACAGACGGACGGACATGTCTAGATCGATTTCTCTCGTCATGCTGATTCAGAATATATATACTTTATGGGGTCGGAGATGCTTCCTTCTGCATGTTACATACTTTGCACAAACCTAATATACCCTTTTTACCCTACGGGTACAGGGTATAAAAAGTACAACTCATGCCTAAAGTTCAGCGTGAATCATCCTACGGCTTTTCATATCTAAGAGAGAGATAGACATGCTATTGTCCAGTCATAAAAATTGGGGTAACCACAACCAAGGCATATTACTATATTTAAAGGTAAACGTGCGTTTTTGGCAAACTCTTGGAAAGCACGCAACAGTTACGCAATGCTCGAGAAACTTTGAAAACGCGCTAAAATCGCATGCAAAACGCCCCCGACTCGCGAGCGCATTGCCATTGAAGAGCATCGTCCCCCGCACCATTTGCAATTCAAATTCTCAAAGCTCAGTTACAACAACAGCACAGCACAGAGCAACGCAGAAAGCTTTCACTCCATGGCCGAAACATCGTTAAAGTTACGTTGAACTCGCCTGCAAATTGTTGTTGTTGTTGTTGTTGTTATTGTAAATGTTGTTGTCATTGCAGCGGTTGTTGCATTCGTCGCGCTTTGACAGACTGACCTTGTTTTGCACATTTTTACAACCACATTGCCGCGGCTCGTTGCACTTGTCGTCACTCGTTTGTGGCAAGTTGGGTGTTGTTTTTGTTGTTGCTGCTTTTGTTTTCTTCGCGATGTCACTCACCTGGGCACCTTGGCCACCTCGGGCTTTTCTTTTGGCATGTCAGCCAGTCGCCGACAGCCGACAGCCGACAACCGGCAGCCTTTAATTGGTGTGCATTTGACACTTTCTGATGGCCGCGCAGGGTACGGAGAGGCGCTATAAATAGCGGCGCTCATCGCTGGGCCTCTAACTGTTCACTGACTGTTAATTTACGTGTAAGTACGAATAGGTATGTACACCTATCTATGCACTATACATGTATATGTATGTATGTGTGAATGTCGCTTGCATTCTAGCTCAACTCATTGTGCAAATGTTTGCGAAATGCAATATTTCACTTGGCACTTGGTCAGCAATGAGTCTGCTTATTATTCTCAGCATTCAGTCCAAAAGTCAATTAAAACAAATATACTATAATTACCAAAAGAAACAGATATAGCTTTCATGCAGACAGTATTTCTATGGATAACATGGAAAGCCTTTATTCTTTTCAAGTCGCTTTCTCCTATTGAAAGCCATTTCATTTGATCGAAACCTAAACCACAATTTCTCTAGTTTCCTTTACATAATTTAGCAGAGATTTGGTCAAAATATGTACTTATGTATGTGCTTGTTCCGGATTTGAATCTGCTGTCTATTCACATTCTTAATTGTAGAAAGAATGTGTGAAGAGTGCGTATAAATCTTTGAAATAGTCGCGCAGACGAGTAGATGAGAACTATTTTCTTAAGACAAAAAACTGTAACTTATCAATTATGTTATGAAAATCTAAATCTACTCATATTTTAATCTTTTAATCAAGCAATTTTTTAAGTAACATTTGTGCGCCTATGGGAACTTCTTACGATCCAAAGATATAACATATAGAATGTATGAACATACATATGTCGGTATGCATTAGAACCTCATAAATAGTTTATATAATAGCACTTATGAATGAAACAATCAGATTTTTATATAAAACGTCAACGAAGCTAAATTCTTAATGGCTCCCAAGAATGACAATTCCCATAGCTGATAAATAAAATCTCTCGTTCCCATTCACCAATCTACTCTCGAATTGCTTACATCATCAAGTATTTTTCAACAATTTGTGAGGCAATAAAGTTTTACCCACAAGGCTTCAATTACAATTGTTTCCGCTGCTCAGCTCCAGCAGCATCGTAGTCGGCGCATTCCAAGCCTCACAAAGTTGCAAAAATAAATAAAGAACAAAAAAACAACAACAGTAGCAGAAAATACTCATAAAATGCCGCTACAATAATGTTTTGTTATGCGAGTCACAGTTTCAACTTCCTGTGGGAAAAGTGTTAGCCTGTTTTCAAAAACAAAAACAAACCAGAATGGAATGCTAGAGTCGGGTGGGCTCATCTTTTAAATACCCTGTGTCCATGGGACTTTTTGTGTGTTTGTGTGCAGTACAGAATTAAGTCAAAGCAGCATCAATAACAACAGATTAAATTTATGGCTTCAACTTAGAATTGACCTATCACGATAAAACATGAATACGGACACGTGACCAATTCAAGTAAAAAATGACTAGAATTATCAATAGTTATTGGGTACTGCATCAGAAAAGAAAAAAACTGGAACTTTATCTAAAATAGAAGAATCTGGATGCCAAGTTTGCTTATTCCAGCACTTATATATTCTGAGATTCTTGCGTTCATACAGCGGACAACGGGATTTTTCTATATTGACGCGTCGCGACACGCGTTTTGTCATACTGATCAAATATTTGCATTGCCTCTTTTTGTATAGGGTGCAAAAATGATATGATGATGCTGCGCATGAGCCAGAAAGCGTAAAAACAAAAGCGATAAAAAGCACAAAATTCCTTCAAAAGACGCTCAAAAATAAGACGCAAAAAGGCACATAGCGTCCCTCAAATTCAAAACAAACTATCGAACACCTTCTGAGCTCA